TCCAAACAGCTGAAGAGGTCAGAGGTTAGGCTCTCTAACCTGTTTCCACTCAGGTCTAGTTCTGTCAGCAGCGCCAACGCCTTGACCTCAGAGGGCAGCTCAGGTAACAGGTTGCCAGCCAGCAGCAGCCGACGAAGCCGGTGAAGCGTGAAGAGCGCCGGGGGCAGACTCTTCAATTGGTTGTTGGACAGATCCAAAAGCTCCAAGGCTCGAAGGACTCCGACGGTGGGCGGCAGTGCCAACACACGATTGTAGGCGAGTTTGAGGCAAGAGAGACGCTGCAGGTGGACCAGACCGAGCAGTTCCTCCAGGGTTCTCAAGTTGTTGTGCTGCAAGTCGAGCGTCCGGAGGTGAGTCAGCGCGAGCAGGGCCGAGGGCAGGCGGTCCAGCTGGCAGTCCTGCAGCTGGAGTTCTGTCAGGTCCACTATTCGCTTGAGTCCCGTCAGCACAAGCAGCCTCGCGCCTTCATTGTGTATCTCCAGCTTCACCAAGCTGCCCGCCACCTCGCACAGCTCTGACGGAACCCTCTGCAGCATCCCATGGATCACCAGAACGCGGAGGTGGCGGAGCTGCCGCAGGCTCCCCAGAGCCCAGCCGTGACCGACGCCGCCCTCGCTGCCCAAGCGACCCGAAAGGTGGAGCTCGTGCAGGTTGCGAAGGGAGAGGACCCAACTGGGGATCTGTGACGCCTGAGCGAAGGTGATGTGGAGAACCTCAAGGCGTTCCTGGAGGACCGCAAGCGCACCGGGATCCACAGCCGCGGGGCAGTGGTAAAGGTGGAGCTCTCTGTGTGTGTGTGGGGGATCAAAGCAAGAGGATATGAAAAGTATGGAAGATGATCACTGAAAAAAAACAACTCTAACTTTAATCTCAGAATTTTGTGTTTTTCTTGTCAGAATTCTGACTTTAATGTGAAAATTCTGTCAGAATTCAGATTATTTTTCTCAAAATTCTGACTTTAGTCTCAGAATTCTGACTTTTTTTGTCAGAATTTTGACTTTAATGAGTATTCTGTCTGAATTCTGATATATTTTCTCAGGATTCTGACTTTTTTTCCTGTTATCTCAGAACCCTGAGAAAAATAAAAGAAATCTGACGTTCTCAGAATTCTGAGAAAAATCTCTAAATTCATTTTGGGTTTTTTTCCACTGGTCCTAATCCTCTTCCGTAAGGTAAAGAACATGCGGCTGATTTCCTGTACATCTCACCTGAGTGAAGTCATGTTTGCCACCTGCGAAGTAAACCTGGCGTCAGCGATGAGCTCCAGTTTGAGGGCGTGAAGCTGGCTGAGGGTGAACAGAGCCGGAGGGAGGCGAGGCAGGGCGACGAGCTGCAGGGAGCTGCAGCCCTCTGCGTCCACGCTGGTCAGAGCCTGGAGCTTCTCCTCTCCCCAGTGCCTCTCCAGGCTCTGCTCCAGCAGTCTGCTCTCGCTGACCGGGGACAGAAACACGGAGAGGCGCTGCACCAGCAGCGGGTCGTACTGCTCCAGCATGTGGATGAGGAAGGCCAGGTCATTCATCAGATCGGGAATGTCTTTCGGCGAGTGGAAGGAATATTTTCGAAGACAGCTAAGGAGAGGTAATGAAACAAGAAAAAAAAAAATCAAATGGAAAGAGAAATGTAAAATAGGACATAAGGTGATACACTTCTAAAAAAAACTATTAAGTGACACAGAGAAATGCTTCATTAAATAACATTAATATTCCTCAGAATATTAATTAATTCTCTTTAAAACACAGAAATGCACCAAAAGTGTCAAAGTCAGGCTTCTTTGACACAACTACATATTGTTTAATAAATTTTTTAATTTAGATTTTTTCTTCTTTTTTGCTTCATTTTGTCTTATTTATTCTTGTGTAATTTTATATAAACATACGTAGATGTATGTGACTACATATTTTATATTCTTTTTGTAATGTGCAAAAGGTTACTTGTACTTCACTTTAAAGAAAAGTAAAATAAAAATTTGATCACAAAACAAAAAAAACAGCTACATGAGATTATTTCTACCTCTAGCTAGGGCTATTAACAACAATCTGAGTTTGCATTATATCTAATTTTCCTATGAGAATATATTTTGAATTGAATTTAACTACAATTAATTTCAGGATTACTTTATTAATCTCAAAAGGAAATTAAATGTTATTTTTATCGAAATTTTTTAACAGTTGTCGTACATGCAGATGGCTGCAGGAAGGAAGAATCTCCTGTAGCAGTCTGTACTACAGTGACTATGAAGAAGCTTCTAACTGAAGACGCTCTGTTGGTTCCATAAATGTCATATAAACGACTAAACATCAAGTCAAACCATTTTTAAAAACATCATTGAGCTGGGGTTAAAAGGCCAAACTGGATCTATGAGACACCAGGAACCTTCCTGAGGCTTAAACCTATGAAATGTCTGACCGCTTGACGCGAGTCCTAACCTGCGAAAAATCCAGCTGAGGGTGTAAAAATTAAGAAGCGCATAAATCCCTAGAAGGATTAGGTAGGTCACAAGCAGCTTGCGCAGGAGGGACGAGAGCGAGTGGACGCATTCAAAAGTTTCGTAGCTCAGCAACATTCGCTCTGCAGGCTGACAGATGTGGCTGAAGGAGAGGGAGCTGATGAACGGGACGGTGTAGCTCATGATCAGCGTTACCATCAGCAGCTTAAACATCGTTTGAGCCAAATAAACCTGGAAATACAAAACAAGACTTGTAAATGTAAATGCAAAATTGATAGCATACGTCGTTATTGGTATATTGGTTAAAGGTGCATTAGGTAACTTTTATTTAAAAAAAATATATGTTTTTTGAATATTTGTTAAAACTTCCACCATTTAATGACATGATGATATGAGATAGTGTGTGAAAAGTTCAACTCGGCCCTGAGCTACAATCTCCATCTGAAGAAATGCACAGCTCCCGGCCAGAAACAACCAATCAGAAGCAGGAGGAGGGGCTTAGTGCTGTCCATCTGTCCTGTGAACACGCTGCTAAATGTGCTAATGGCCGAAAAACAACTTAACATCACGGGGGAAACCTTTTATGCTTATGACCACTCTAACAAGCTTTAGCATTTATGGCAGCAATAGCGCTAAGACCCGCCTCCTGGCTCTGATTGGTTATTTCTAGTTAGCACTGGGAGAAGGCAGAGGAGCTCAATTTTTCTGTCTTATACAATACTGTCACGACATGGTGAGAGTTTTAACAAAAATGTAAAAAAAAAAAAAAAAGACAACATAATTTCATAGATGCTACATACTGCAGTTTTAAAGCAACATACCTGACTGGAAGGTTGCCAGAACTTACAAAGTTTTCCAAACAACAGATTACAGATATGAAGTTCCTGTACCTTATAAATGACAGCAGAGCTTTCACAGTGAGACCGAAACTTCCTGACTCTTTCAAACAGGGCCCTGGCCTGTTCTCCGTCACTTTTATCCAGACTCAATACCTGCCCGGGGCGTTCACTGTCCACTGAAGGCTCAGAAGAGCACAAGTGCCCCTCAGAGCCGAGGGACACAGACGACATGGTGGAATTAGAGGAAAGGGTGGAAGGGCAAGGAGAAGGTGGGTAGGCCGACCGCCTCAAAAGCGGACTGTTTGTGCCGGAGTCTATGCTTGAGTGGCCCGTACGGGCCGGCGCCATCGAAAAGCAAGCTGCGGACGCGGCGGCGTGGCGGGGCCTTCTCTCCAGATCTCGGATGTTTTCCTGGCGTGCAGCTTGGGACAGGGCCTGGGACGTCCAGGGGGACTCGCAGCATTTTGCCAAAATGGACAGGAATTGTTCAATGCGGGAAGAGGTGTGAGGGAAGTGCAGCCAGAAGGAGCCGCTGGCGACCAGCAGCAGAGACTGCAGCAGGGCCATGTAGGGGAAGAAGCGTGAACAGAAGGGTAAAGCTTCATGGTAGCACACCTAGACGGACAAACATTTCCGTTAGGTGAGGCAAATTAATGGCTACAGCTATGACATATTAACCACAGTTTTAGAAAACCTGCTGCCAAATAATACTTTCCAGGTAATAATTATTTCTGGCCATTGCCTTCCGCAATTCTCATCTCCCTTCCATACTCCTTACGGACTTTCTCTCATTGAAGTGGATTCCTAAGATAGAATTTCAATCGGGCCGATCAACGAACAGAAGGAGAAGGAGAGGTTGTGAATGATGTCATTGATTGCTGTTTTAGAATTGTGATCTGCTTGTAGTCTTAGCAATAGCATCGGATGAAGTTAACGAAGCTGTTAAATTCATGTTGGCCACGCCTCCAAACATTGAATTAACATTAGCAGCCATCTTGTTTGGCTCGGCACTTCTCTCTTTGCAGTGGAGGATGGTTGTTTGTAGCGCAGCCAAATTCCAGTAAGCTTCATAACATGGAACTGGCACATTACGTTAGCTAAAAGTTAGCAACCGGGTAAAATTGACACTTCAACACAGTCCACACTTCCAGGAAGCAATCGTTTTGTCATCTCTGGACAAAGCAAAGTGGAGAAACAGGGGCTGGTTTCTACTAGACATTTATAGGCTTAAGGATCTATAAATGAGGATGGAGAAAGCGATGAATAATCAAAGTTTTTTTCCAAATGTATGAACCACAGTCATGTTGTGCTGCTTCAGAAGCACAAGTTGCTAACTGCTGGTTATAGGCATAAAGTAGCAATTTCAGGGTGTTTAAGGATCTACATTAAGAGAGTCCTGATACTTTAGGCAAAGGTAACTGAAAGTTTTGAGATTCTGTTTACGCGATTTCTATTGAATACGATTTACACCACAATCATTTATGGGTTTTACTTCAACTGTTTATCCTTACAATCATATATAGCCCGAAGGTAAATAATGATACCTGGCTAACATAAATATACTGCTGGTAGACCAGATGTGTGCGGCGTCCCTTTGTAGGTGACTGAAGATTCGGGCCGATGCTGTGAGGAACATGCAGAGGGGCTTCAGAAGACACGAGGACTGCGTCGCTGCCAACTGGTGGATGGTGAACACCGCCGGTTGCGTTGAAAGGCGGTTCAGAAGGAATGCACACCACCCTGTCCCTGGACAGCTGCACAGTACAAGCCAGGACGGACGTCATCAGCATCAGGACCACCAGGTAGTCCATGAAAACTTCCCACCAGGGCTTCAGCAGCTTCCACGTGTTCTGATGCGGATCCACAGGCGCCAGTTCCGACAGGGAGAACATGTCCAGTCTGAAGGATGTCTGTGAGATACTTGTTGGTTAAACTAAACACTACTCAGCTATTTTTAGTTAAACTCTCACAGTCAGAGAACATCAACATTGATTTGTCCCACCTGGCTGAAAACTTGCTCCACAACTTTTCTGCTGTTCCTCCTCTGCCACTTTGCAGAGAGTTGAGGCCGGAGCGCTCCAGTTCTGTGGTGAAAAACAAACTCCTCCTGAGCTGGCCAACCCGCCGGCTTTTCAAGTGTTGCCATAGAGATGGAGAATATGCTGCTGAGAATTCCAGTCCAGTCGTAGGACCTTATGGTCTGTTGAACGCTTTACCACAGCCTTGAACTCCTTTCAAACTACAGAGAGGAATACCATGAGGAGTTCACAAAAACTGAGAAAAATATTACTTTCTAGCAACATAACTAACCTGGAGAAGTACGCTAAATGAGCACCTGAACAGTTAACTTTCTTAAAGAATAAACTGAATTACAGGCAGATTACTCATGTAAACTAGTCCAAGTCAAGCATTTAGAGAAATGATCATAAACTCTTTAAATGATCTCTTTGATCTATGTCTGCTGAATTCAGCGCCTTGTCAAAGTTAACATATAAAACAATATTCTTTTCACATTTTGTCATATTAAAGTCACAAACTTTGCATTTTTGGGTATCTTTAAAGACCAATGCAAAGTAGTTCTTAATTGTAAAGTGGGACAGTAATAATACATGTATACAAGGAGTGTGACAAACATTTGTATTTACCCACTTTTACAGCTGAGTACCTTTAACAATATCTCAAGCTCATTCTTGTCAGATAATTTCACTTATAACGATATTTTTTCTATGTTACAAATGAAATAATCTGACAGTGGAACAAGTATTTTATTTTATTTATTTTTATTATTATTATTTTTAACCAATTTTAAGAAACTAACTTGAAATTAGCTGCTATATCTTACTGAAAAGTTACTTATAAGTTATTTTTTCTTATTCCAAGTCTACTAAGCTATTTGCACCAGAAACTAGACAAAAGCATTTCAAACTTAAGTATTGAAGTTGAGCTAAGTTAGCAAAGTTTAAGCTAACTTAGCTTGCTTAAGTTTAGCTAATTTAGCTTTAACTTTGCTAACTTAGCTAAACTTCAATGCTTAAATTTTACACAAAGTGTTAAACATCATTACTGACCGTTCATGATAGGTCAGACTGCAGACGCTTTGAAAATGATACGTGAATCCGATTTAGTGCCACACATGAAGGGGCACAGATGTACTTTGGAGAGTGAAAAGATTAGAATTGGGTCGTTCTTACAAAGTTCGGAAATGTTGGATGAGGGAATGTTCCTGCTCTGTGAACCTAGCCTTTGACTGGTCAGAGCAGACAGACCAAAAATACTTCATTTTATTTTCTAAAAAAACAAACAAACAACTAACTAAACAATAAAAACATGAGGCAAAGTAAAAAAAAAAATAATAATTAAAAAAAAAAATAAATATATATATATATTGTTGACATTATGAATGTTTTGTGCTCTCATTTGTTGTTGTTTTTATCATTATTGGATTATTGTGCGTCACATCACGTGACTTGTCTAATTGAACACACTCGTGTACAATAAAGGGTGTGTCCTTCAAACAAAGGGGGAACAACACGAAAGCCGAACCGAGTGAGTCTCATGGTGTCACGTTGAACGCTGTGCCGAAAAGTGATTCTGTTAACATATATATATATATATACGCCGCTTTTTGAGTCTAAACCTTGATTTTGGCACCATGGATATATATATGGCACCATATATATATCCATATTTTTTATATACTCAAGGGTCAAAACTGGCAACTTTGTTGCATTGTAAACAAAGTTCCCTCATTTTCCAGCAGATGGTGCCAAAATCAAGGTTTAGACTCAAAAAGCGGCGTTTGAACCCACAGCTTTAATTATAGCAACGTAGCAGTTCCTGCAATGGCAGCTTTATCACAGACAGTGATAAATCTAAAACTGGCCTATTTCTCAGTTCATGTAACTATTAACATCTGTTCCTACTGAAGGATTACATCTTGTGCTTCATCATATGCCATTTCCTTTTGTTTTTAGACCACTAAGAATCTTTGGCAGAGATGCAAACTGACAATAAACCACAATGAGATCTACTCCACACAGCTGGTGTGTGTGTGTGTGTGTGTGTTCTGTATATCTGCGTTGTGTGAAATATGGAGATGTGTGTCTACATGTGTACTGTCGAGCGACGAGCACAGAGTTAGAAAACAAGAGGTGGGGAAGTTGCAACTGAACATGTATGTGAGTGAGAGAGGCATTCGCTAGTACCACAGAGGAAAATCTCAAAATAAAACATGCAAGTGTGAAGAGCAGGGTTGACTGTTACACACTGCAACATCTCAGTTGGCTGCTGTATCAGCGACAGTACATCATGCTTCTGATTCCTGAGCCTTTCTGTTTAGAAGAAAATAAGCAACAGAGGGGACCAGTTCTTAACTTGAGAATGGACAAAGGAACAAATACTGAGAAGAGTTCAACCAGGTTCAGGAAAACACTGCAATATTGTGCTTTGAGATTCTTGAAATGCTCCTTCGTTCATCGTTAAAATCCCTGAACAGTGTGTGATTGTCAACATGAATTTAATTCCTTTAAGGTCCATTTATTGACTCAAATATAGCTTGAATTATTTCAATCGATAAGCATTTTTGCTATTGTGTGAAGGCAAAATTTTCTACATCACTTAATTCATTTCTGCTGTTTTAAGTTTTTGTTTCATTAATCAAATTAGCAACTCTCCCGTTTTAATCGAAGCCAGCAATTCACCCAGACATACGTAGCCACTCCAGCCACTTATAATATGTCTACAGAAGCTTCACTATGAAATACACCAGGTAATAAAAAATAATAAAAAATGAATTTTCTTACAGAGCCTAGCTGGCATATTAACTATCATTTCATTGCCCATTCGCCATTTCTTCAACATCTGAACTCCTGTTCTTATTTTTATAAGTATGCAGAATATTTCTCTGGTATTTTTGTACTAATTTAATAATGAATGATTTAGGTTGTTAAAATGAAAATGTCTTAGGAATGTGACCAGTATTTTGTTGAATTGATGCCACAAAGAAACAGAAAAATAAACCTGCAAGGTGCACTTAATAAAGAAGTGAGTGTATACTACAAACTCAGAAACATAATTATTTAATTATTTTATTAAGTGGAAAAGAATTGACTTTGTTTTATAATATCGTTCTATTGCTATTTTAGTTTAACATTCTAAGATGTTGTAGACTAACATTAATATAACACAAAAAAGACTAAGAAAGCAAACAATTTAAATGTTCAAAAAGATGTCCGAAGCCAACTTTTTATATATTACAAACCCAAACATCCATTTTGTTTGGTTGTTGTATTAGTAAATAAAAAATTATTAACCAGAACTAACTACTGAAAGAGTTTCATGAGGTGTTGTCATGAACAATCACGATTTTGCACTGTGGTTACATGTTTCGACACCATCTTAGTTTAGCATGTGATCCTGCTAAGATATTATAAAATGCAACAAAAAAAACATGTGTAGAACTGTTTTTAAATTACAAGTCTAAAACAAATTATTTGTTTTTATTTTTGAGTGAAAAGTCATTGATAAAAAAATTGCTCACTATGTCTGCATGACTGCTTTGCCCTGAAACTACTTGTTCCATTTTAGCTTAGCATATTAGCATGCTAACATTTTGCTGAAATAATAGTAGAAAAGCATAAAAACATCAAAGTAAATGTACAAAATAAAGGTCAACTTTATATTAAAAGTCTAAAAGATAATGTTGTGTTGTATTATTAACTCAAAAGGATCAGATAAATGGGTTTTTAAAATATATTTTAGTGATCTTTCAGGATTTTGCCTTCTAGTTACAATCAGACGAATATTAGATCCTAATTTATATCCTTATAACACGTTGTATTTTTAACTTAAACCCTTATTAGCAGGTTACATCACCTATTGCTTCCTTAAATTTGATTATTAGTATTGTGTGATGTTTTATTGAGCAACAGACTAACCGGTTGGGTTGTTTGCGTTTGAGCTGCTTTGTTGCTGAGAAAACAAACAAAAAAACTTTTTTCTGTTTTGTCATTTGTTTCAGAGAAACGTGGCCACAAAATTAGACGGCAGAGCTTTGGTGTGGCAGGATGAACATTAGAAGCGGACCATATCCTACCAACACCCTCGGGGTTGTTTTTTTTTTTTTAAAGTTCTGCTGCAAAAGAGCTTGCGGCTTGACACCTTTTTCATTTGCAATCTTATGCCTAAACACAGTGATGCACTCGCATATCCACACGACCCATGGGCAGATATGCTTTGGGTGGGGCCGTGTTATGTGACAGGATTCACACAAGTCCACATCATGAGAAAATATCGGCAACTTGTTGCAGACCTCTCACACCACGCGAAAAGCTTGAAGTAGAAGAAAACAGTTCATAACTTTTGCCAGTCTGAATTTTCAAATATGTAAGATTACTTCCAATAATTTCCCAATTATGAGCTCAATAATGTACATCTTATCTCATTATATTTAAGATTTAAAACATGTCAAGCAGATTTTTGGCAGAGTTAACTCAGCATCCATTGTGGATTCTGTTTTTTAGATGGGCTCTTTTATTTTGATCATTCTTTTTATTATATTCTGATTTCTTCTTACATTTCCTGTATCGTTTTATCATGTATCGTGATAAAAATTCTTATTGTGATACAAATTTTAATTTATCGCTGTGGATAGTCTTGAACCATACATCTATGGCGTGTGAATGTGTTTTTTGTTACAGAACATTAGTGTACTTTGGTAGTTTTGGCCTATATTTGTTGGTTTCGGAAACCACGTCAACTGACTTCCAATCAAAATTGGGGTTTGGATCTGGAATATGGTCAATTAAAGTCAGTGTGTCATCAGAATTTTATCAAAAGCCTGTTGTTTGAAGTAGGCGTGCATCGGTTGGAGCTTTTATGGCCAATCGATGGTTATCTATCATCGATCAAAGCATAACATGTCAGTTCGGATTTCTGCCAATACTGACTTTTTTGTCTGAAATGTTGATAAATGTAGCAAGAAAGTCGCTGAGATGGCAATAGTTGATTTTTAGGCCTTTGCTGAGGTAGTTAATGGATAAGATTGACTTCACATGTAAGCATCAAACAATCACAAATCTCCCAAAATTACAAAAACCAAGGCCGATTTATCGGCACATTCCTAGTTTGAGGCTTTAAACTCTCTAGAACTGTTTTAATCTAAATTCTTCACACACATAATTCCATTATGTAGTATTTAAATATTTTAAATACTTTTTCCTCATATGTTTGATCATTCAGATGGAGGAATTTGCTGATTTCTTTAGCAGCTGACCCCATATCAAGACCCTTCCACCACCGTGCCTCACATTAAAGATGAGCTAGCTGTGGCCTGCTGCACCTTAATTTATGCTATCTAGTCATAAAACTATCTATCCATTCATCTTCTTAGACCCTTATCCCACTGGGGTCGGGAGGGGTGCTGGTGCCTGTCTCCAGCTGTCAACGGGCAAGAGGCGGAGTCACCCTGGACAGGTCGCCAGTCCATCACTATGCATCATAAAAACTACTGTTTTATTATTATACTATATTTACAACCCATTGGTTCCACTGGTTTTCCAAAGTAAGATGAAACAAATTTTAGACTTTGTCATGACACTTTGGGAGAATGGGTACCACTGCCTTGATCAGAGCCACAAAAAACTTGTTCTAGATCTGGTTGGAACTTCTGGAAGATATCGAACGTCTGCTCGATATCGTTTGATTTCACATGTAGGCAGCAGCTGGCTTGTGTACCATGTCAATTTAGAGTTCTCACACCTCCTTACCTCTCTGTAACCCTGCATCGCCAAAGTGAATCAGCTCTCACTTGGTTTCATGTGTGGGAGTGGGGATGCCCATATGATGGTTGAATTTGAGTGATTTTGAAATTATCATTGCTTTATTTAACCACAGCGACCGCCGTCGCCACGTTTTTTTTTTTTTTTAATACGTTTTCCTTTCTGTGCCTTTACAAAATCGCTATAAGCTAAAAGTTCGGGAGAGGTTTTTTGAGGTTACCTGAGACCACGGGGATAAATTCTGCTTACAAACGTTGGTGTTTTAGAGAAAAAAGAAAAGAAAATGAAAATAGTGTAACTGTTGGGTTTGAATCTGAATCTGTGATGCTTTCAATCTGAAAGCAATTGATTGAAAAGAGTGGGAGGATGCTATAAGCTGCAACATAGAAAGAAAAATACCTCAGCAAAATATTTGCTTCCTGTTCAGTGGGTGGCAAAGGCCTACTTGAGAGCGTTGTGGCTTTACTTTTGTACATGACTCCGTAATACATTACTATACCGTGGGTCGAGATCAATGTTCCCATGGCTGTAATAAAAATAGAGTTAGTTAGAAGCCATACATAACAAGGTGTCTGTGTTGTTGTTTTTTTTTTGAGTTAATCCCTCTGCTGTATTTCACTTCCCACATGAAGCACGTGTAGATACCCCAAATCTCAAGAAGTTCTGAAGACTTGATTTCTTCTCTCTCTCTCGTCTACAAAGTGAGAGAAAGCCGTGCACTGACCTTAACCTTTGCTCTTTTGACTTACATAGCCGAAGAAAGTCGAACAGTTTCGCAGAAATGAGTGTCGAGCATGTGGGTGGGGATTAACGAGGGACATAGTGGAAGCTGCTGGTCGTGAGAAAGTGGCACGGCACTTCGTTTTGCAAGTCCCATGACTGAAACCACTGTAAGCCACCCGCCGCAGGAGCTACTGAGATAAACACCAAAGAACAGAAAATGTGGTCTGACCTGCCACCGACCCAATAAGTGACATTTTTCTTGCTGCTATCATTGATAATGACTCATTATCAAAGTGACATCACCAAATGTTTTCTCTAAGATGCTGTATCAGAAGACTGTAGCTATGTGTATGATTTGCTCTTCAGTTGGTGTAGATTTAAATCAGGGGTGTCCAAGTCCGTTCCTGGAAGGCGTGGTGTCCTGCAACTTTCATGTGTGTCCCCTGTCCAGCACAACTGAGGATGTAGAAAAAGTTTGACAGATAATCAGTGTAATATCTGAGTCAGACATGCTGAAGTAGAGAGACATTCAGAAGCTGCAGGACACTGAGAAATGGAGTTAGACAGCTGTGATTTAAAAGATTTTTCTAGAAGCATGGATCCCTGGAGAGGATCCACCCAGAGAGGTAGCAAGTAATTGTCATCTTACCTTACCTATCTTTGAACAATCTTAGCTTGGATAAAATCAAAGAGCCCAGAACAACATCCAAAGAAATTAATGGTGAACTCCAAAGTCAAGGTACATCGGTGTCAGATCGCACTATCTGTCATCGTTTGAGGCAAAGCGAACTTCATGGGAGACGACCAAGGACGTCACCACTGTAGAAAGCAAGTCTATAAAAAAGGCAGATTGGAATTTGCAACAACGCATATTAAAGACCTAAAAGGCTTATGGGAGAATGTTGTTTGGACAGATGAGACAAAACTGGAGCTTTCTCGTAAGGTATATCAGATGCAAAAATGAAGCATTCCAAGAAAAGAACAATGTCCCTTCTGTGAAACATGGAGAAGGTGTGTATTCTGGGGCTGCTTTGATGCATCTGGCGTAGGGTGTCTTGAGTCTATGCTAGGTACGATGGAACCTCAAGACAATCAAGGCTTTTGGGAGAGACAGAAAGCCTGGTCTCCCCTCAAACCTGAGACAACTTGAGCAGTTTGAAAGGAGAGGGTAAAAATACATGTGGACAGGTGCAGAAGGTCTCAGAAATTGCTTGATTGCTGGAATTGCCTCAGGAGGTTGTGCAACAAAACATTAAGTTATTGAGAGATGGTCTTGTAGCTTTTACCTTGAACATGCTTGTATGTAGCTATCTTTCTAATTGCTTGGACAACCCTCTCCTTGGCTTCCTGTGGTCAGTGTTGGGTGTGGTATGTGTCATGTCACCAAACCAAACTACTTGTCATCCTTTAAATAGGCAGACTGACTGATTACAAGCTTGAAGACTCTTGTAATGCTAATTAGACGACTTCCATTAGTTTAACATGTCCCTATGGTCAAATTATTTTCAGTCTTTCCACCCCTCTTTTACTAGTTTGTTTTTTAAACTAAATTATGTTGAATCACATTTACCATGCAAGGCAATGTCTGATTTTCATTGGTTCATTTTCAATCATTTTTTATTCACTATTATTTTTTTCAGGTATGATTGTGGGCTTATCCGTCATTAACAGAGACGTACCAATAATTTTATACACGTGTATGTATTTATTTCAGTCACTCCCTTATTCATTTGCTGCTAGTGCCACAGGACTAATATGATTGAGAAGTAACTAAAACTGACATTTGCTTACCCTTACTCTGTTTATCAAGCAAGCTATAATACATTACAACCTTTGTACTTCAGGACTTTGTACTTTATAATCAAATAGTAAATAGTAGCTAAATGTATTACGGTTCATCTGGTTCAGAGAAACTTAAATCGCTTCACACTACATTCAGTCATGCACAAATTCACACACTGATGGTGGTTAGCTTCTACATCCTCTTATCTGCAGGATTTTGTGACTGGATTTTGTGATTCGGTTTAAGTGATGAGAACAAGTCAGGGCGTTCATTCTCAGTACATCAGTAAGAACATACTGAGCTTTGCGGTGACAGAAGAACTCTTCAATCTGGTAGATATTGAAGCACAACCACCATTTTGCAAACGGTACATTTTATCCATCCATCCATTTTCAATTTTAGAAAAGTACCATATTTATGCAGGAAATGTTAGCCAAACGTATCTTGGCTAACATTTTAGTTAAGTTCTGTCAATCAATCGAGTTTATTTGTAAAGCACATATTTGAGCAACAATGCAGTTCAAAGCACTTAACATAAAAACATTAAAGGCGCCATAAAACCATCATACAGGCACCAATTGTTAAACCAGTAATGAACATTACATTACGTCATCAAAATCATCAGTATACATGTAATAATGTTCTAGTCATTACTCTAACAGTTGGGTTTTTAAGCTAGTTCTCTATTAGCCGCCGACAACAAAGCTAGCTGCTAACTATTATGGGCTATAAAATAAAATCTGTAGGAAAAGGAAGCTTAAATGTGTTTTAGCAACTTTAGCAAACTGTGTAGATGTATAGTTTCATTGTCCAAATGTGTGTGAATATTTTCTTGTATGACATCCAAAAGTACAAACTATTCAAACTTTTTATGCTAACGCTCTACTGCTCTTTGTGCTTTGTAATGCTGAAGAGGGAAAGATACTTTGCCACATTCCTTTTTGTTTTTCTTTTACTCCTTCAAGCTACCGAGAAGCTTTTTAATCAACTTTATTCAGATTTTTTTTTTCACTACCCTTACCCTTAGATAGTTTATTTGCCATATGGTGGAAAAACAAAAAAACTCCAACTGACTAAAGTCATATGTCTTTCTTTCTTTCTTTCCTTCCTCCTCCTCCTCCTCAGGTTTCAGGTTCCTAGAAAGGCAGTTTTACGCCACCATCAGGGTAACAAGAAGCCCCTAACCCCCCAAACTCAGGAGAGGCAGAAACCCACCGAACCCACCAGCTCGTCTTGGCTCCCTGCACTCCTCTCGTCTGCTCTTTCAGACAACCCATGGGAGAAGGTTCCAAGCCCCCCACCACATGAACCACAGTGCTCTGCCATGCCTGTGTTTGTGCACATCAAGGGGGAGCTCAGCACGACTCTACGCTGCTCAGATCAGAACTGCAATGAGATGCATGCAAAAAATACAGCCATACTGAAAGGGGAAAAAAAGTGTTGGTTTCAGTTCATATGTGGTCTCTGAAGATAGCATTCAATCTGAGGACAGATTCAAGCTTTGCTACTTGAAATTTATTGGTGAAAATGCACGCACTTCAGAAAGTCTACGGTGCGAATAAAATAGTCTGAAAATGTTTTCCTCCACTTTGACCTATATAGCTTCAACAGGGCAAATTGTGACGCGTAGGACCAGTTTCATATCGGTATTTTTATGTCATCATGGCATCAATCTTTTAAAAGTGGTACTTTCAAGTTGTCAGGAAATGTGCACTGTCATCTGTGACTTTGAGAGATGGGGTGAAATTGAAAACAGGGTTATCTAGAGTTTATGAGTTGTGGAATCATTGGTACTTTCTTGAAGTGAATAAGAAAGGACAAGTTATCTTTTCCAAACTAGCTCATAGTAAATGGAAATCTTTGTCACTCAAACTCATGATTAAAAGCAATGAAGAGCGGTGAAACGGAGAGGAAAATTCTGCATTGGGTCTGGGCAACACATTTGGTAATCCAATTCTGGACCAAACAGCTCTAGATTGGTACGATCTTTTAGTCTTCAAAGTCAGATCTCTGATCTGGGACACTTGAGTTGAGCTGCTGTGCTGCAAAACAGGCAGATAACAGGGTAGTTCTCCATTGTATGCATACAAACAGAGCAGAGTCACGTTCACAAACAGAGAAACGATGCTATTGCGATACAAGCTGTTGATATGGAGTTTCTATCAGCAACTTTTTACTGCTTTTCTAATGCTTGCCCTCCATATTGAGCTATGGTTGCTCTGACACCTCTGACTTGTGAGCAACACAGACTGACAAGCAGCCTAACGTCTCAGAAAGTAAGACAGTGAGTACGTTGGGCTGAGGTGTGCTGAAAAAGACGGCTTTATTTCTGAACATCTGTGGGTAGTTTTAGTGAGAAGCATGAGTGCTTCTGGATAGCACAGGTTTAAGGGTCAAGGGTCACCTGCTGGCCAGATACTGATTAGTTAAAACATATCTCAACGCCCTTTACCAAAATATAATTCTGATTTCACATGCTCTTGTTGTGTTTCCATCTAGAAATCCTAAAAATCTGCCTTTCAAGTCCATGTAAAGCACACAAGATGAAGGTGTATTGTTTGTTCTTCCTGTGGAAGAGCTTTGGTGAAGACTGTTAAAAATATATAATGTTAAAAAATATTAGTATATTTAATCTTTTGAGTTTCCAGTTGAAAATTCAACAAGACCTTTGCCTGTCTATATTGACTTAATGATGATTTTCAGGTCAAAATTTGACTTTTAAACATCTAGCGTTAGCTATGTAGCATGTAGGCTAACAGTATCTTAAGTTAACAAATTTGTTTACTTAAATTCTGTAGCACAACACGGTCATATTAATATTTTTATACAGCATAATTTTACCATCTTACATTTACCATTTTTTATCCTGTGGAAGAGGTGAAGAACTGGCATTGCTGAAAGGTTTACCTATGACGAATGAAGGGGCTACTTCTGATTGCTGCTTTAACCCAATAAATTAGATTAAATGTTTTTACCCAATATTTGGTTATCATGAATTAATTTTTACTAATTTGTATCCAAACATCATAAACCTAGCATTTGAATCAAAGACATTATCCAGTGGTCTTTTCTTAGCTAATCAACTAGCTAGCATTGCTCAAAGAAGCTGCTAACATTTCATATTCTGTCTCATTGGGAACAAGTTATTAATCTTTCAATTTATGTATTTTATGAGAGAGGGGGAAGACATGCAGCAAATGTCACCAAGCCAGGAATTGAACCTGTGACCATGAGGACCAAGGCCTCAATATGTGGGTTGTGCTTTGCCCCTGCGCCACCCCAGCACCCCTGATGTATTACTACTTGATGACCGGAGCTTAAACGTAATGACATTTCCATGAAACCTGTCACATCAAATTAGCTAATTATCTTGTTTTGACTCAGTGGTCTTTGCTTAGCTAATCGGCTAGCTAACATAGCTCAAAGAAGCTGCTAATATGTTATATTCAGTCACTGTTTCACTGAGAACAAGTTATTAATTTTTCATTTTATGTGTAATTATTTGATGACTGGAGCTTAAATGTAATAAAATTTGTATGAAACCTACCAGACATGAAATTAGCTAGGTTATCTTGTTTTGGCCTCATGCCGTAAAGTAAAAACTACATACACAAATAAGTGAAAAATAATTACTTACACAATCCATGATGTTTCACTTTATGATATACAAGCAAGAAATATTAATTGTTATTAAGAAAGACAATGTGACGTTAGCTAAACCTGAAGTAAATCCCTTGTTTAGGGAGGTATTTCTTGCTAGCACAGGCCTCAAACTCAGCCAGACATTCCTGCTGTGCTAACTAGAGAAACAACAATGCTCAGAGAGCAGAAAAATTATGAAAAAAAAAAGATGTCCGCACATCTTGTCACCTCCACAGAACACCGTGGGAGGGTGCTACATCATTTATAAGAAAGTCCCTATCGTTTTTATGTAGCATGGGTGTCACTGAGAACAGGAAGAAGGAAGGGCATGATAATTTGAATTTATATTTCTGCCTGATCTTCCTCATTCCTGTTTGCCGTTTTCGTTTTTGTTGAGACATTTTGCTGGCCAAAAAACCTCCAAATTGAAAAAAGAAAGTGTTTCTTTCTAGAAATACTGTGCAGCTCTGAAGAAAATATGTATCATAGGAGACAAATTAATTCTGTAAAAACGTCATATAAAATCAAGACTAAAGGATTTAAAGATCTGCAACACAATTTGAGCAATCAAACCTTTTTTGATTATAAGTCAGTCTGACCATTTGACCCTTATCACACAAAAATGAAAAGTTTTCCTTTAAATGTTCTCTACACAAGGGAGTCTCAAAATTTTAATCTTAAAATAGGATAGACTTAAAATAGGAACTTCTATCTGTATGACTTTCAGCCCATTTAATTATGTGTGTGTGTGTGTGTGTGTGTGTGTGTGTGTGTGTGTGTGTGTGTGTGTGTGTGTTCGGGGTGAGGGTGAGGAATACACACCCTCACACACAAATGGTGTGAAGTTGGAGTTTCAGAGATGTTGAAATGGTGAGGAAGGGTAAAAACAATGCAGCACTCAGAAGCTGAGAGCAGCGCTGATGCAGGTCCTTTACACTATGATGATAATAATAAAGTTGTCCCAAGTAAGTAATTTTCACGTTTTCCAAGAATGAAAAGTACGGCAGAACTACTTATTTAGTACCTGGATATTTTTTAGATTAGTGTTTATGTTGTTTGTTTTTGTGATTGAAAGGCCCATTTTTCTGAATTTGTAATTTCCATGTTTGAAGTTTGAAACGTGTCCATAGAAGTCAGATTTGTCACCAAAATGTTTCTCAAACATGGTTCCCCTGCATATAAACTTTGTGACATCTACAAGTTAAACTGTTTATTTTTCACTTTCAATGATTGCTGGCACATTTTTTTTTTTTTTTTTTTTTTTTTTTAAATTTTTTTTGGCTTTAGGGGCTTTTTTTTGATTTTTAATTAAAGAGAAGGGGGG